CCACAACCACAACCACAACCACAACCACAACCACAACCACTGCCGCAGTAGCAGCGACAGCCACCACCACCGCCGCCGCCGCCACCACCACCACCACCACCACCACCACCACCACCACCACCACTGACCACCACCACTGACCACCACCACTGACCACCACCACTGACCACCACCACTGACCACCACCACTGACCACCACCACCACCACCACCACCACCACCACCACCACCACGACGCTGCTGCTAGCCGCCTGATGGTAATCAAAGAGTGGCAACAACAACAGCAACAAAAACAACTACTAGTATTACTACTGATGACGATTGTGATGGTGAAGCTCTGAAGAAGTATTGTCAGCTTACAGGTCCCGTGCACGCATGTTTACTATTATTCTTATTGTTTGTTTCTGCTGCTGTTGTTACCGGCTCCGGTGTGGCTAATGCTGCTTCCAGTGGTGTTGCTGTACTGTCTCCAATGCGATACGCGCTAAAGTTGTCTCACTTTCTTAATCGCTGTCTCTGTTGCGATTGCTGTTGCCATTGCTTAAATATCGTATCTGTGAGTGCCATTACGTAATGCTCTGGCAGTACGAGCAGCAGTGTGACGACCGCAGCAGTGAAGTCCATCATGGCTGTTGTGTCCTTGGTGTTGATGAAGCCTTGACTCTTGTATATTCGTTGATTGAATTGCTTCCTTCGTGTGTGCGGCTTTTGCGGTAGCTTGGTGGGTGAGAGTTGATAGCCGCATGTTATGTGAGGAAGGCGAAACAGCAAAATCAAATCAATGCTAACAGCCGTCACTATCCGCGACAGACACGACGACCGTGTTGATGATCATGTTGTTGCTGATGTTGCTGATGATCAGGTGGTGATGATGATGATGAATCTGGATTAATACAGGCACTGCGGACGGTTGAAACTGACAATGATGTTCACCATTGTCTTGTCGTGTTTTTTTCGTTGTAGTTGCACTTGTTTTCGCCTGGGCCGGCGGCGGGCGTTGCTGGAAGGGTGTGGCTGTAAAGTGATTCCTCGAAGCGGCTGGGCTCAGCCTGATCCCCGATATAGTTTCGACGCCCTGAGAGCCAGCAGAAGAGCCGCTCAGATCTCGAAGCTGTTGACAGTCTGCAGACTTGAGAGGTCAGTGTTGATGGTGCTTACGAGTCAGTAAAGGGTTTGGTTCCGAGTCGGGCTTGTGCAGATGGTTTCATGCAGGTGAGACATGGTCGGGATTCTGTTGAGTTTACAAGATTTAGGCAACGTTTCAATGTTGTTATGGAAACGTGCCGAGAGAGTGACTTGGGCATCAGTGGTTCTATTGCTTTTCGTCCAGATCTCCGTACAACTGACACGAAGCATACAGTACACTGTGTCTGATTCGTGCGTCATCCTGAGTCTGTTCAACTTTCCCCTCTTGTTGTGATGTTGAAGGCATCCAAACCAGAACATGCAAGGCCCTCCCCCGCAGCAAAGGTCCGCGACGCATGGGAGGAGAAGGCGGGTTTGGCAAGGGAGGATTTGGAGACAAAGGGAAGGGCAAGGG